TCCCTTATATCCTCCTTATTCCTTTGACACAAAATCGTGGGCTATAACTCAATGGGATAGTCTATATTCCTTAACTTCCCTAGCCTAAACACTTGTAAGGAGATTACCCGGCTAAGATGCACCTAACTCACTTATGGAACACGGTTTCCCCCATTTCTCACACTATGGGGTGTCATACACCCTAGACTAGCTTCCTTATTAAACCGGTGGATAGCTAGATAGGTTCGAGTCCCTTATTAAACTAGTGGGACAGTCCCTCGTTGAACAAGTGGGACAATATAGATAGAATCAATCCAGGAAAACCATTACATGGATGGGCCTTACCACATGGATTTTATCATCTACTCCATTTCCTAGGTGAACTCTTGCCTCTCAAGATCATGCCAAGCATATTTATGCCATAACTCACACATATACAATTCCTAGAACTTTACATATCAATTTTCATTTTTACACAATCATTGAACTTCTCAATCACATTTCATGAAACTTCAAAACAAATAAGTCATTGAACTCTATATTCACAATCATTGTACTTCATACTTTCAAAATCATTGAACTCCACTATTTTAAAACATCATTGAACTTCTCTTAATAAAGATTCATGTTACTTCTTAATTTACAAAATCATTGAACTCCCAATAAACATTAATACGAAAATCCACCACTATTGTTCTCAAGGAAATTTTACACCACAAAGCATAAAACTCACAAATTGAATCTAGTGGATTTCCTAACAAATTAATCCACACTTGCATTTCTTTTATTTTACACATTTCAATGATAGATCATAAAACAATAAGCTAATAAATACACATAAGCATAAGATAGAATTCCCCTGGTTATCTCAAACCTTTAAAAGGTTAAAGGTTTCACCCCTCAACTACTCACTCTTGAAGCTTCCAAGAAGCTTGAATCGTGCCAATGGTAGTTACACTACAAGCATTTACCATGCAAAATATTAATATTCATTTTTTTGAGCTATTTTCCCCTAACATTTCATCATTTCTTAATACTCAAGATTTATTCTTGACTCATGTAAAAGTACCCATAAGACTTCTTAGCTTCCTTTAACTCTCATTAATAACATTGAACTCTTAAATGGACATTAATGAAATCACATTATTCCCAACCACCAAATTTATGAGAATTTTGGATATTTAATATTCTCCAACCACCAATCATCATAAAACCATAAATACCAAGTTTACTTAGCTCAATCTACTCCTATTAACTCTATTTAAGTTAATGGGTTCGAATCCATAACTTTTATGGACCGAAAATCACCATTAACAATCAAACCCTAATCTCTACCATCAAGAAAATGGAAGAAGAGAGGAAGATTTAAGCAAGGAAGCTTACCTTTGGTGTTTATGAGCTTTAAAACACTCTCATAAGTCAGTTTCTTTAAGCCCTAGCTCAGTTCTCTCATCACTCTCTCAGTTCCTTTTATTTTTCTCTTCTCTTTTACTTCAGGTTCGCTACTTAATACTGTAAAATTCTGACCATGCGCTGTGGCAGACACACAATGTGCCACAGCGTATGGCATAAAGAGCCTCTCCCAGGTGTGTTGTCACACATACGCCATGGTAGACCAACCATAAGCTGCGACGCATGACACAGAATCACTTTCTTTAGAAATTTTCCCTCTTCCATTCTTGGGTAACCCGATTCTCCTTCGGACCCACATTTAAAACTGAAATTGAGACCAAACACGCCCGTTAAGCCTCTCTGGCCACACACCTCACAAATACACTTAATTAGTCTATTGAACTTAATTAATCTTGATTTAAAAATTAAGGATGTTACATAGGAAGGATTAGATAAGTTAACTTGGAAGCTCAAAGTCATGCCTTAATGATGGAGACCACTAAACTGTAGTAGAGCCACCAATTTTTCACCCAAAAACCCCATAGTTCCCTCTCTCTTATGTTCCATTTCAAACAGAACTATTGATTAGATATTTCATGCCATGCACTGTACCTAAATAGGACACTCTACTTAAGCCTAGTTTGTTGGACCCAATCTAGCCCAAAAGCTATTTTAGACCCCAAATAACCCTCATACATGGTTCTAAACCAATTTTAATTATAATTAAGTGTCTAGACAACTTTTTAACCATAATTAACCTCAACCTAACATAATTCATCACTTTAAATCCTCAATTATACTTATTGACCTCAATTAAATTTTTAAAATAAAATCAAAATGTTACAATACCTCTATGACTCTCATATCTTTTCCCACTTTTGTCGATTAAAAAATAAAAATAAACTCATCATTTTTAACTTTTCATTTTCATTTTGAATCTTAATTCATCTCTCTTTTTCATTTAGAATTTTTTTAAACTACACAATGATTTCAAATATGAGATTTGAAATGCAAGATTTCAAATCCAAAATCAATATCCAAACTCATCAATTCAAATGTTCCCTAAACAAAGGATTTTAAATACATGGATTTCAAATGTGAGACATACATACAAATGAGACAAGAAGTTCAAGTTTCCAATTGAGGAGAGGAAATCACAAAAATGTATAGGGTGTGGTTGATTTAATTAAAATTATTCAAACGTAAAACTAACTCTTAGTGTGAATTTTAGGGAATCTTATTTTTTTAAATAAGTGGTTGAGAGTTTGAATCTTAATTTTTACATATGAAAGAAAACTAATTGAGAGAAGTTCGTCATTTACCCTTCAGAGATAATCTTGGTTCTAATTAAAAAGGAAAAACATAAAAGCATTTAAATTGACCCTTGAACTATAAGTCCAAAAATGTCTGGGATTCTAAACTCATTTTTTATGCAATATTCCCCTTCAATTTTTGAAATGGTGAAATCTGACTCTATTACTATAGAAGTTAACTTTAACTATTAGTTAATTAGAAATAAAAAAAGACCTGAAAATTTACACAAAAGGATCCAAAAATTATGGTAAAGAACCTAAAAATTACATACAAAAACTAATATATTATAGAAAAGAACCAAGAAATTTTTGGGGGTCCTTTTTTGTAATTTTTGAGGTCCTTTCTATCATTTTCTTATTAACTAAAGGTGAAACTTAATTTTTGCTAATAATAGGGGTCAAATTGTAACGTTTTTAAAAGTTAAAAGGAAATATTGCACAAAAAATGAGTTTAAAGTTTAAGACACTTTTAAATCAATAGTTTAAGGGCTAATTTACTCATTCACCCAAGAATAAATGCAGAGGGTTTAAAATTATGAAGTCCAAGGATTTGTTACTTTGTTATTATCAACACCTAAAATGTAGCTTTTAATTTTCAATAAAATGTTTAGTTTTTATAAGACCATTCAACACCTTCCCATCAATTTTGACCAAACAAAATTTTATTTTTAGACTTATGAGACTAATAACGCATCAATTTGTCCAATTATTTGGCCTTCATTATTAGTCTCAGCTCAAAAAGAAAAGGTTCAAAGAGTTCTTATCTAAAAATATTCACAAGAATGATACCAATGAAATTAACCATTGTTATATGTGGAAAATGGCATTCACTTTTAGATCACTAATACACTAATTAAATTGTATTTTTTTTAGAGAAATTATACATTTCAAAAGTTAACTTGTAAATTATGCATGAATATTTGTAATATAGAAAACTTAATTGGTACTCATTTTCTTATAGAAGGTACTTATTTGTAATTTTTTAATTATTTTCTATAACTTTTCGATCAAGTAATAGCTAAAGTTAATATTTATTAATGGTAGAGATGATATTATCCATTTTCAAATGTTGACGGGAAATATTACATCCAAAATGAATTTAATATCCTAAATGCTTTTAGATCTATAATTTAACGGTAAAATTAATATTAATATTTCAATCCAATAAAATGTACACAACTTCTAGGCACCGATTGATGATCACAATTTCCTAAATAAAGTCAACGAAATTATAGCAAAATGTGAATTCTACCATATCTGAATGTTAATTTTAATAATTTTTAATGAACCATATTGATGACTATCAAAAATTGAAATTTTTGGTGACATTTTTAAAATTGAATTAAAATACACTTAATCTTGATGAGAAAGGAAGAATAAATCTCTATTTTTCACTAAATATATGTATCTAACCTTTTTTGCTTTCAACACATTTTAGAGTAAAATAAAAAACTTTTTTTTATTTTATCTTAATTACAAAGATATCTTTTTTATTTTTAAAATCTATATAGACATCTAAAATCAAATTTACATAATATATACCTTCCCTCTGTTTTTAAGATTCTATTTTTATCTATTCAACCTTTAACTGATTGTTAAATCATATATTTTAAACTAAAATGCCTCACTTTAACATAAACATTGTTTAAGAGTGATGTTTCAAAACGATATTTGCAATGCACATATTTTAAAATTTTTCATCTTATTTTAAATTTGTATTTATATAAGCTTATTTGTCTAAATATTTTTAAATTTTAAATATATAAGTTGGCAAAAATATTATTTAAAACATATAATGAATATTTTGTAATTTATATTTATTAATTATAAATATCACTTTCTCCCCTTCTATGCAATCACTAGTATAGAAGGGCTTATCTATAACAATTAAAATTTATTATCTAAATCAGTTTTACAACCAATGTAAATAATACCAATATAGAAACTATGTTAATATCTACACCAATTATCCAACCAGTATAGATATTAACTATTCTACACTAGTTTATTAACCATTTTAGATAAAAGTTTAGGAATAGGAATAAATTTTTTTTCTTTAAAAAAATTATTATCTACATTGGTTATGACATTAACTGGTGTAGATATTACACCATCATAACCGGTGTAGATATTGCATTTGAAAAAATTATTTTGTTTGTTTCTTGCATTTACCCTATCCATTAGGCTGTAATTTAAAATTTGCAATGCAATCAATTCTAGACAGCTAGACAATATTTACAATACAATAAAATATATTGATCAAATTAAATGAATTGTAAAATATTTACAATTCCATTCACATACATTGAATATTGACTCAATCCTACACACAACTAAACTAATGTTTTCTAACATGAACACAATTACACAACTCACTCTTCTAGAGGATGATTGTTGTGAAGATATAACATGAACACTCCCTGTTGTTGTCTTATTTCTTGGATCTCTGTGTAGGAAATGGCGATAGATCATTGAACATCAGAAAACAATTAAGTACAAGGAAATTAACTTACCAATTCCTAGAAAACAAAAATTAGATAACACCTAAAATTAGATTTACCTCTTTGGTGAACTCATTCAAATCAACCGTCATGATGTTATATGTGTCTTTTAACACATAAAAGCAGCACAAGTTAGGAAGGGGTTGATGATAGCCTTGTAAAATAATAGAACATTGTCAAGATTATATTCAAAGAAAGCTCAATCATCAAAATTACATAGAATGAAAACATGTACTACTTACCTTTGATGTTATCCATATAGGATCCTTGACATCACGTAGGGCCTTGCCCAACCTAACTTGCTAGCTAGTCCTCACAGCCCTATCATCAACATTACATAGTTAGTAACTTAATCACAAGGAATAATTGATTACAAGACTTCTTAAACACATTGCTCACAAGACTTCTTCATTATCGGATTGATTTTACAATGCATAGAGCATAAAAAGAGGATGGAATTGCTTTTCATTAAAAACACTATCAATTGCTAGTATGTACTATAAAAAATAAAGTGACATGAGAAAATATTCGATATCATTACAAACAAATTCAAACATCTTTACTTACAGATTGAAAAACATGGAAAAGTAACACTTCTTATTGCCTCCACTAAGCCTTTGGTTCATGTATTGCTCCTTTGCCTCTTTGGTGATCTTCTTATCATCAGTGAAACGCAGGGAAAAGAAATACATATCATTTGCCTTTGCTTGAGGAAACTAAAAAATGATAAAAAACCTATGATAATGCAAACAAGTTAGTTCTAAAAGATGAATTGTTTAATTTCATTTAAATTAATAATAAGACACTTACATCATCCCAATTTGAATGTATGCCATGGTTAGGTTAGTATCAATGAGAATTCCACATAGATCTTCAATCTCAATAAAGATTTCATAGTTGTTTATATTGTCAAGATTAGGAACATCTTTAAAACACCTAGGTAGAAATGATCAATCACATGCCATCAGGACAAATCAGTCCCACAAACTCAACTTGAACAATTGGGGCTTTTGACCCACTTTATTAGACAATAGGGTCTCTTGTTAAATAAAAAAAGTTAGTAAAATATGGTTAAACATAAAGAATTTGTTCAATTAATAAATTTTGTTATTAAATCTTGAGGCTTTCTAACAAGTCCCTTTGACCATAAGTTAAAAGTGCCATTGGCACCTTTCACTATCTTGATCTCATTAGTAGGGAACGGGAAAAAGCATAATCAATTTTGACCTTTTCAATGGTGACCTTGACAAGATCTTCTTGGACTTCTTGAAAGTGGCATTTTGACCCCTCGTGGATGCAATCACATGCTACTAAGTGTTTCTCTAGATCCTCTACACACAATAAGCATAATTAAGGCTTAAGATTTAGGTCATCCTCTAAAGAAAGTGGAACGATGTTATCCTTTTAGTCCTCGAATAAAAAGTAGGAGAGTAGGTCTGTAGGGCACTTGGCTCCTTGTTTGAGCTCATCATCATTATCATTTCCACCTTTATCTTTTGTAACCTAGCTAGCTTCAAGGGTAGCCTCAATTTCATCCCTTGCCTCTTCCCTTTAGTGAGCTAACATGGCATTCAACTCCTCCATAGTCACAAGTCCTAAAGGATGGTGTTAATAAGGTGGTCCAAATACATCTCTTATGCTCACCCGTAATTTGAATCCCCTAACACGTCCAAGATGCTCTACTTTCCCTATAAAGATGGTTAGTATGTCATTCTTTCCCTTTGAGACAAATGTTCAATCCAATTGTTTCTATTTAAAATCATCCTTTAATGTACAAATAACAAATAATTAGTAATATTTCATATTTAAAATAATATACATAAGACAAATGCAGTACTTATAATTTTTTGAGCAACCTCACAAGCATACTTGCTTGAAAAGGACCCGTCCTTCTTTTTGTGAGAATAGGCCTATCTATCATAGTAACGTATTAGATTTTGTAAAGATAGTAGAATAGAAGGATCAAATTGAGCTCATTTTTCTCTCTTCCTCCTCTTGGCATCCATCAATTCTCTATAGGAAAGAATATAAACCTCATATATGTGACTTTATTTGAGGATAATTATTCTTCCTTTCAATTTATTATGCCTTTTTCCTTCTTTCTTGTGAATTAGAATTACAAAAATATTAATCTAATAAAGACAAGGATTTATAACTTAAATCAACTAATAGATATAAATTAAAACAAACTAACTCATAATACCATCTAGCATAGAGCCTAAAGAATTCTTCACAAGTAGCTTCATCCAAAAACATATATTAGGCATAAGGATTAGGCTAGGGCTATCCTTCTAGCACCTCAATACATACAAATCTTTTAGCTGGTGATGTCTTGAAACCCCTCCAACTTTGTAGGCCCAATGACATATTGCATTATTTGAAAACATTTTAAGATGATTTTCTTTAATTATTGCATCTTTGGGATCTCATTTATTTCATATTTAGGCATTTCTAGCCTTTAGAATCAATTAAGGTTCATTCTTAGCCTGCGGGTATCGTGGTTATTTTGGCAATTTTAGGAACATTAACCTAGTTTGCATCTTTTGTCTTCCTAAGTATAGTGGAACAAGTTTGAGTTTTAAATTCATTCTTGGTTAGAAAAAGGCATCAAAAGATATAAGTCATAGGATGTCTCAAGACAAAGACATTAATAATAGGTTGTCATGTTTTGTAACCTAAGAGCTTGGAAATGGTATTATATCTTACAATTGGCTTTGAATTTGATTTGAAATTTTGCATACATGCTTTGATCTTTACTGTGTGAATAACTGAAGGTGTATACAAGGAATTAGAAGAGGATTAAATAGCCAAAATATTATATTACAAGACAAACTATAAAAGCAAGAAGACCTTAAAGTGATGCATGTGCAAGAGTTGATTCAAAGAGCTTTTAATGACTCTAAGCATTAAGGATTTCAACCAAGCAGCCCTTAATCACCCTTTGATAATCTTTTTAAAAGTTATTAATGAGTTTTAATCAAGTATGGAGCATCCAACAAGAGCTACATGTATATCCAAGTTAAACTAGCTTGAATGGTAGCCACATTCATTCTTAAACCTCCTAACCAAGTTTGTTAAGTAGTTTCAAATATTTTATGACTTTGATCTCCTAAAACCCATCTTGTTCTACTCAAAATACACCATTACAAGCTGTATATAGGGGTTTTGGCTCATGCACACACTCATTTACTAATTTTACACATTACAATTCACACTTGTTCTCTCACACTTTTCTAAACTTTCCAATACCACTTCATTTTAGTTTTCTCTCATTTTCCTCTACTTTTCCATACTTTCTTAGCCACATTCCTTCATCTCAAGAAAGTATTAAAACCATAAAAGTCATATCATGGAGGATCTAAGCTTGGATTCAAGGAGAATTCACAAGGAGAGGCTAGATTCTTGAAGCTTTTTAAGGAAGATACAGCCACATCTTGAGTTCTTCTAAATCTTTTCTCTTGATTTGAATTGTTTTAAATTCTTCTCTTCTCCTTTCTTAATTCTATAATTCATGCTATTGATGAATGATTTTAGGTTTTAGATTGTTCATCTTGGCCAAAATTTATGGTCTAAAGAGGAGAGGATGTGTATTTGATTCTTGAACTAGTTATACACTCTAAGTGTTTGTGTTTAAGCCTTAAGGTTTTGATGAATGAATACATATTTACATTTCAATTTCTTGCTATTTGTATATGAGATTAACTTTAGTTTAGATCTTAAACTCTAGTTAATATCATAATCTTGGTTTGTTTGAGATATTAAACATGATCAAGGTAAGATTTAGGACTAGTTTCAAGGATTGAATCACAAATTGAAGTGGCTTTTAGGTGATTGTGCATTAGTCTAATCACTAATACCTAGTCCAAATGGTAATTTAGACATCTTCACACCCTGATTAATCCTTTAATCCTTCATGTTCCTATTTAGACAATAAATAAAATTCATGAGTGATATAATGAATGAAACATGTTCTAATATGAATCAAACATAAGAAATAACTACTTAAACCAATCAAACAGAATGTTAAATAAATAACTAACTTTTAAGATATTTTTAAATAGTGATATTCTCTCGTATCTCTTTATGGTGATCATTCCTTATGGCATGTTCATCATCCACTTCATATTCTACATTTAGTATAGGTAGGCCTATTGAGAAAGGAGTCTCGAAAATATCAAAATTTAAACAACCTTCTCATCAATATTAACTTTCCTTTTTCCTTTGAAAGCCATAGACCATCTTTCATTTCTCAGATCCATGTCATAAAACACCTATTTTGCGTAGCCTATCCTGATGAAAATCATTTTTAATCAACCCATTTGTATTTGAAACTAGGGATTCTAAATTTAATATAGTCAATTTCTCATATCTCTTCAATAATCTTATAGTAAGGTATGGATATGAATAAAGGATTTACGTCTTTCCAATTAAAGAAGTGCATGCCTGAAACCATATAACACCATTATTCTACACATTACTCCTATTGTCTAGAGACTTCATGTACAACAAATACTTGTTAATATCAAAGGCAGTCCAGTATACAACATCACAATCAAGACCTTATGCCAGCTCTTTAACAATATCAAAAACACAATTTTCCTTATCAACATTTTGTTTAAACCACTTTGCAAAAGTACTATTATGCTCCCAAATCAGTCTTTGCTCAATCATCCTAATTTGACTGTTTTGCTTCCTCACAAGTTCTTTATGCACATCTATGTACTTAAACTCGATCAACATTGTTCAAGATATGTGAGTGTGCTTGTTGCAATTCATAAGCATCCACATTCTTCACAAAAATGCCACGTCTATGATCTTTGACATTACTTTATCTCAACCTAACAAGTCATACATTATTCAAGTAATATTAACAAAATTTTATCACTTCTTTAGAGACATATTTTTGAATAATGGATACTTCAAGACAGCATAGACTCTTCACATACCCTTTTAGGACTTTCATTATTCTTTCAATTAGGTGCATCCATCGTAAATGAATAGAGTCACACAACTTTATCTCCCTCACTACGAACTGTGTATGTTGTTAAGGTTGCTGTAAAGATTCATGCCATCTGTACTAAGTCCAAGCCTGAGGCTCTTTGGATCATTGCCGAACTTAGGAAACTATGTGTCAATTTTCTTCTATTATTCTAAATCACCAATATGTTGGAGCTTTCTATTAGAAATTCTCTCATTTGCATGCCACCTCAGATTCTTCACATCCTTTTTCATTAGCAAACAACTGTTTAAATCTTGATATAATTGGAAGACACCATAGCACCTTCATAAGAGGTTTGTTCTCTTTGTACCTTG